GCTTATGGTTTGTCGCATTGCGGTAGTGGGTGCAGCGTGGTCGCACGAACTCCGGCTTACCTTAGAAAATATATATTTTATTTACTTTTCTCAATTTATTTTGAAGATGAAATGATTTTGCACACTAGAACATCTCCAACCCCCACTCTATTTTTTTTTCTAAATTTTAATATAAAGCAAAATTCTCTCCGACCTTACTCTATATTCTACTCTAAAATAAAGCAAAAGTGAAGATTATTCTATATATAGAGCAACTCTATAATTTTCCTCTATCTTTTACACTATCTCTATTTTAGAGTAAGGAATAGAGTAATACATTGGAGAGAATACTACTCTATTATAAAATTACTCTATTTTAGAATAAAAATATAGAGCTTTACTAAAAAAATTGTTCTCCTTGACTAAAAGTTTACTAAACACGAGTCTGGGTCAAAACTATAGTGGGCTTTGATTAATATTTATGGTCTTAAGGCCCATTTCTATTGGTTTACCTAACATCCAGTTCCACCGGAAGTGGATATGCTTATATTCGTACGTGACATCAACAACAACAATACATGTCCAAGTCAATGGCCATTAAGGTCGAAGCTGAAAAAATGTCCAAACTCCAAACTATGACAGCTGACGCAATCTTTTGTTTTCTTTGGCCGATACATTTTCTGTTTACCAGATGGAAACTACAATGTCGAATTTATTCAGCCGGTTAAATTAGTCTTACTTGGATGCTGGTGGAATTTTCCAGAATATTTTGTCTTTTTGCAACAACTTAAACAAAATCAACTTCGATTGCTTTTAGAAACAGCAATCTCACCAAGTTCACATATTCCTTTTATATTCCCACAAAAAATCTAACCAACAGTGAACACAATCCACACAATTTAAACAAGTGGACATAAAAGTCTTGGACCCATTTTAAAACATCTATCCACATTAGACCATTCACTGATCTCTAACCAAATCCTACACACACTCTCACGATGGCCACCGTCGCTAACTTCTTAGCCAAACCAATCGCCACCGTAGTCCCACGGCCTTCCTCCGCCGTTGCTTCGACCTCCTCCTTCGTATTCTTTAACCATAAAACCAACTCTCTGTTCCGGAGGGAAAATCTCCCGAAAAGACTATTCTCGGCTGTGAAAGTGAAGGCCGGAGCGGCGTCTCCGGGGAAGGTGGGTACACCCCCGGCGAAAGACGAGAAGGTACAAAAGATTCACAGCGGAGAGGAATTCGATGAGGCGTTGAAAAATGCGAAGAGCAAACTTGTGGTTGCAGAGTTTGCTACGAGTAAGAGTGATCAGAGTAATAAGATATATCCGTTTATGGTGGAACTGAGCAGGACCTGTAACGACGTCGTTTTCTTGCTCGTCATGGGTGATGAGTCTGACAAAACCAGAGAGCTCTGTCGGAGAGAGAAGATTGAGAAAGTTCCTCACTTTAGCTTTTATAAAAGCATGGAGAAAATACACGAGGAAGAAGGTGATTTCCTAATTTTCCCTAATTTCTTCTCTCATTAAAAACATAACTCGATTTAATCTAGATAGGCAAAAAAAAACATTTGGAATTAGACTTTATTCAACCGATAATGCCCCTGATTTGTTGAGCAAATCTCTCAAATTAAGGAAACATTTAATACAATCTCTCAAATTCACCTAGATTTTAGCAAATTTTGGACATACAGTTGTCTATTAACTGATTTCGATGTACGATGATTATTTATTTAGGTTTGGAGTATTGATATATGTTGATGTTGTAACACTAACCATAACGAATTTTAAAAGAGAATTCAATATAATTCTATATAAACATATAAGCAAACGTGTTATATGTTGGAGCTGTAACGTAAGTAATATAATGTAGTGGCAAAGACGTAAATAAATGGAAAAGTTTGACCATCGACAGGTATTGAACCGGACCAGTTAATGGGAGACGTTCTATACTACGGAGACAACCACTCGGCGGTGGTGCAGCTGCACGGTAGAGCTGACGTGGAGAAGCTGATCGACGAGAATCGCACGGGAGGCAAGCTGATCGTGCTCGACGTCGGTCTGAAACATTGTGGTCCTTGCGTTAAGGTGTATCCGACCGTGCTGAAACTGTCCCGGTCAATGTCGGAGACAGTCGTATTCGCTAGAATGAATGGTGACGAGAACGATAGTTGTATGGAGTTTCTCAAGGACATGAATGTTATCGAAGTTCCAACTTTCTTGTTCATTAGAGATGGAGATATCTGTGGCCGGTATGTTGGTTCCGGTAAAGGAGAACTCATCGGAGAGATTCTTCGGTACTCAGGCGTTCGTGTCACTTATTAATTTGTATCAAAACTCATATTTTATTACATCTCGTTTAAAAAAAGAATGGGTTTTTGGTCTTTGTTTGTACCATCCGAAACCGGTGGATATGAAAAAACTCAAAATAGTGTGATTCTTGATTTGAGTTTTTGCTTTTGTGTGTTTAACTTTGCACGGAAACTTGGACGGATTTGAATTGGTCCATAAGGGAATGAGATGTTTATGATATTTTTTAAAAAATTTTTGACATCGAGATGTTAATGATTTGTACCTACCCGATGAAGATGTTGTAGTATTATTCTCAATAAATATATACACATAATCATCATTTTGTATGTGATATTAATGGTTGATTGTGATTTACATTTATTATATGGAAAATTTGGTGGTGGAAACACATTGGTAGTTAGATTTTTTTTTTTTTTTTTTCAAAAGACATTGTTGTTGTCATGCGCTCTGTCACATAAGGAAAGACTAAAACTAATTTTGTAATTGAAAAAAATGTAGTGAGAACGAGATTTTTATTTAGACGGAGCAAAATTTATATTCACAAAAGACTATTGAAGTGAACGATCATCAGCATCACAACTTTACATATACACATAACAACAAATCCAGATTCATTGTGAATGATGATCATTATACAATTTGACCTGCAGTAATAAAAAGTAAAAAAAAAAATGTGAAGGAAATTTAATCAAGTGGTTTGAAGATGAAGTGGTTTTGGTGGATCTATGGTTCTTCTCTTCCACAAGTTAACTTCTTTCTTTGGTTTTAACCCTAAAGGAGCTGAGAAAGGGATAATTATGTCGTCTTCATCGTCGTCATCGTCGTCTCTAAAGTAAGCTCCTCTCTTCTCGTCGTCGGAATAGTAACCACGGCGATGATCAGCCGGGGATTCTTCATCATGTTCCATCTCGACCGTCCAATCAAATCCACCTAAAGCATCGCGGCTGCTAGCGAATTTCTTCATCTGACCTAAGGAAGGCACTGCCGCGGTGGAAACCACCGTAACAGGATGTTCACCCGCGGCGGATACGGCGGTGGGATGAGATTTTCTTGATATGTTTCCTCCACTCGCCGGCGAGAACGAGAAGATACGCTTGATCTTCGAAAGACGACCTTTTTCATCTTCTTTGGTTAAAGACGACGTTGAGGTTTTGGAGATTTTAGGTATCAACAACGGAGTTGTTTTGTTCTTGTTCTTTTTACCGGTGGGACATTTAGACTTACCAAGCTTGATCTGACCGATACAAGAGACTTTAGGTGAAGTAGGTTCGTCCCAAACAGCGTCGCTTTTGTTTCTTCTAACCCGAGCCGCGTTAGGAACCAAAGGAACCATAGGACCAGAGAAAAACATTTTGTTAGCCGCCGTGTTATTGTGGTGGTTGTGGTTGTGGTGGAGATCTCTCCCGGGACTAAACGGTGGAACTCGATGTCCAAACGACATAGCTTTAGGAAGCATCTTCAAAAGCTTGTTCTTGTTCTTAGGTTTTGAAGTCGAAGTATGATGTTTAATGTCCATCGATGAGCACAACAGCAAAATTCGCAGACAAGAACAGAGGATTCTGGTTTTTTATGTTTGGTCTATAATGATGTGAGAAGAAGGAAAAAGAGAGGAAATGAGTTTGAAAAAGTCAACGATGAGTGCCTGGATTGGAGGAGTTTTGGTCAAATGTGAGTTAAAAAGGAGGAAGCTAGACCTTTGTGTTTATACGGCCGACTTTATAAAATGCGGAAGACATGTTTGTTTTTGTTTCAAGTTTCTTCTTTTTGTTACTATCTAAAAGCTAAAGGGCACATTTTTTTATTTTCCAAGGATGATGATTAGTTAATTACTAATTTGACTTTAGTTTGGGCCTCATTAGTCCATAAATCAAAATAGTAACACATTTCTTTAAGAAACGGTGGTGATATTTGGGACCTACATGCAAACAAAATTCAGCCATATGGGAAGGTAGAAGTTAGAACTTATCAACGATGCATTGAACTAGTTGGAGCTTTTTGAATTTCTACTTTTTGTTAATTAGCATTTATAGTTCTGTAATTGAAACAACTTACTTAGAGAAAAAAAAATGTATTTCAGTAGAAACATTTTTTTCTTCATATATTGTATGTTTGAATTCTGATAATAACATTAACACAAATCATTCAGTAACACGTTTTGGTAAATGATTGTCTTTAATTAACGAAACTATATTTTAAATCCTACGTTGTCTTTATTAAATTACCGAACCCTTGTCTAAATTAGTGATGTCTTGTGGTTTACTATTTCGTGCGTCAAATAAAATATTAAAATGAGAGAATAGTATTATAGTAGTCCACCAAGGCTCGAACAATAGTAAACGATTTAAAATTAGGCTGAAAATGTGATAAAAACTAAATAGACCAAAACAATGGAGAAAAAATGCGAATATGTCCACTGACCACTGGTCAGGATTAAGAAAATCATATAATTGAAACACGATGCTAAACCACTAAATCTTTATTTAAAGCTACCTAATTAATTTTGGTATCTGTTTGCAATATAAGTCAGTTAAAAACCACGATGGTTCGGAGGGACTTCCGTAATTGGGACCGGACTACCAAATTGGTCCAAAACACAAATCGTACCAAACCAAGCTATAGTAATTTGATTTCAGTTAATACTAAACACCGGTTTACACTTAACCATATTGCACATCTTTTCATTAATTCTTCGTCACGTGCTTCTCACGTGACTGACTCTTCTTCTCCCATCTTTTTTCTTGAACTCAGGAACCTAGGTTTGGATTTGCCGATTTCAGTTATTTCTGAATCAATTCTTGTCTAGCTGGGGATAAATTATGGTCCAATTGGATCTGCAGAGCTTTATCCTCCGGGCTCGAGTGCTTAAACTCTACCGACAAGCATTGAAGGTAGCTCAGAGAGCTCCTGTTCATGTTAGAGGTTCGTATATTCATTTCTTATTCCTGAAAACGATTCCATATCTCTGCTTTGTCTATCTATGAATTCATCACATACAAGAAATCTGCGTTCACCGTAGATCCATTTGATACAAAATCTCGAAATCTAGGGGTTTAGTAGATTTTGGAGGATAAGCTTTTGTTTGATTCGTGTGTTCATGTTTTGTAGGGGAATTGAAACAGACTGTTAGGCATGAGATGGAAAAGAACAGAGACTGTGACGACAAACAAAAGATTCGGTATCTGATTAGTGAAGGTTTAGAGAGAATTAAAGGACTCGACGAGATGTTGGATATGCAAGGCCATTAGTATTGGTGTAAGATGATGTTCTTTTACATTTTTTTGTAGCTTCTGCTTTAATCGAATGTGATGCAATGCTAGATGGTCATCTTTGTGGTTAAGCTCTTTCTTGCATATGTTCTTTATCTCTATTGATTGATATTTTTCAGCGAGCAACATTATATATATATATATATATTTTACCTGGATTTGTAAGATAATTTTTAGATTTCTCGACGTTATACGCAACATTATAATTTCTGTTGTAGTCAACTTCTGCTGCAACCCATCCACAAAGCTTATCATGCGAGATTAAACACTTTCTCGATGGGTTGCAATAGAACATCACTAAAATAGAAGTGATATTGTTTGGAAAAACGTCAAAGAACCGATATCTTATAAACATCTTACAAATCCAGGTAGAAGAGAATATGAGGTTGCTTGTTGAAAATAACAATCTATAAATTTGAAGAAGATACGCAAGAAAGAGTTCTAAACACAAAGCTGATCAAACATTCTATTTGAAGAGTTTAACATTGCATCACCTACAATTAAGTAGAAGGTAAAAGAACATTTGGTTTCTAATACTTATTCAATAGCTTAAAACATCATCTGTTTGACATAGCTCTTTAGTCGTTTTGTGTCTTCTGACTTCTTCTCTTTTCGTTGTTAGAACTATGTATTTGGAGTTTGACCTGGCAAATATCCATACCCATCTGCTGTATTTAGAGTTTTAGACTCTTACACTTCATGTCCTGTGATTGTGCAGCAATTCCATGTTTCTTCTTCTCAATGCACGTAAAAGATTGTTTGTTTGAACCCTTTTCTTATTAGCATTTTTAAAACCTTTATAGCTTTTTTCAAATTCTCATCTTTGCGATTAGTCATGACGTTTCACGTTCAGAGGAAGAAATAGAAAAATGCTTCTTTGAACGCCCGCCATATGAGGAAGCTAACTTCTCCCTCTCTGCCTCTGGAGAACGCAGAGGTCCAAAACGCTAAGTGGTGGTGCGTTTTGGGCTCAAATTTTATTATATCCGTCGTCGTCTTATTAGAATTGGGTTTTAAATGGGCCTAAACAATTTTAGCTTCACTTGAAGCCCAGTCTGTTATTGAGCATGTTGTTTGCCTCTCGGTCTCGGAGTCGGAAATTTTCAATGTTGGTGTTGAGAGAAAGAGAGAGATGATGGCTACGAAGCTTCAGAAATGGCGAAATCTGGCCGGTCGTCTAGATCTGATGTCTCGGAGAGATGCTGTATCGTCGAGGCGTCTCTTGCACGAAGGTCCAGACACCGTAGAGGAGCTTCTCGATAGACATCTAGCGAAGAAAGAGAAACCAATAATCGACGACGATGAGGCCGAGTTTTTGAATAGACGGCGTCTGACGAGCACGCGCCGGGAAGCGTTGAGTTTGTACAGAGACATACTACGAGCGACGCGATTCTTCACATGGACTGATTCTAGGGGAAACCTATGGAGGGACGTGTTGAGAGAGAACGCGAGGAAGGAGTTTGAAGCGGCCCGATTTGAGACGGATCCGGAGGTTATCACAAGGCTTCTGATTGGTGGAAGCGACGCCGTTTCGTCTGCTTTAGATAAGCTCGCGGAGAAGCAAAGGGAGATGATCGAGAAAAAACGCCGTGGCGATCAACCCTGAATTGACGGATCATAGGACATGAATGTTTCAACCGAATGATCCTTTTGAGTTTAAAGTGGAATGCTTCTTCTTGGTAAATGGTTGAAAGAAGAAGAAGAAGCTGAAAGATTTTTGGTTTCAAAGATCATTTTGGGTTTGATGCCATTTTAGTGTTATAATTCACTTACACACCTTCGTTTGTGAAATTATCCTTCATGTCATTGTAGAGTTTGTATACACTTCTACAACGCTATTAAAAAGGCTTTTGATTTTAGAATAACTCTTTTCTTTCGTCAAGTATGACCCAGAGAGGATTATCCCTTGTTTAGATGAGACATGTCTCGTTGTCTCGAGAGATTATTTTACCTGTAAGAAAGCAAGAACAACAGTTCGATGTTTCAGTATATCCAAAAGCTTTGTAACGAAAACAAAATCTGAATGTATGGTGATGTTAGCTAGAGAGCAGAGAGTGTTGGGTTACTTTTTCTAATCCGCTTCTACGAAGCAAGCCTACTATCTCTGCAAGATCTGAAGGCGGTGGACATGAAAACTTTACAATTTCCCCAGTGCACGGATGTGTAAATCTATCAAGGAAAACAGAGTAGAAAAAACAGTTATTAACTGGTTTTTCCTAATCTAGAATATTAGATTGAGATTCAAGTTTTCTTACCCGAGAACTATAGCATGAAGGCAAGGCCTATCCATTCTGGAAATCAGCTCTACAATCTCTTCTTGATCACTGCGGGAGACTCTTTTCTGCAGAAGAGAAAGGGCCATGCTTTTTGTTCCACCATACACTTCATCACCCAATAGAGGAACTCCCATATACTTAGCATGAGCACGTATCTACTTCAAATCAAGGTGAAAAAGAGAAACGTTTCAGAGATCACAAGTTCAAAGCAGCTGGATCAAACAGATGACTTGAGGCAGTAACAGAAACATAAAGGCCAACTCAAGCTCTTACAGACAACGATGTGAAACATTAAAAAACAGTATATAGATTTTGAGTATTCCTTCATATGGACAGAGTTTCATACTGAACAATGTAACGATACCTGATGTGTACGGCCGGTTTCCAGTCTCCACTCAACCAATGCAGAGCCACCTCCAGCGAATGTTTCGATTACCTTATACCTAGGACAACATAAATGAGCATTGTTTGAGCATATCAGTATCAGTTAACCACTCTTTAAGAGAGATTTATTTCATTCTGAAGAATAGATGCAGTGTTATAATGCTTGATGCATTTTTAGAAGACTGCTCTCATCACCTACTAGCAGCATGGCGGGCTCTTCCACCGCTTAATCCTCCAGGTATAGCAGCCATACGGATCCGATTACTTGAATCACGACCAATTGGTATCTCAATACGCCCCTGTGGTGGAGAAGGAACCCCAGTAGTAAGACTTACATAAACTCTCTCAATTGTGTGTAGCTTAAACTGTTCTGCTAGATGGGCATGGGAATGTTCATCCTGCAATTACCCTTTTCTCGTTAAACAATAAAAAGCAATCACAGTAGTTCATAAAGCAGCCACCAAAAAGAAGAAGAGAAAACACAAACCTTGGCTACAACAAGCAATCCAGTTGTGCCTTTATCCAGCCTATGAACAATACCAGGACGAACAGAAGCAGCATATGAACTAGAAGAAGTCGTCATCTCTTCATCATCTGAAAAAGTTTCTTCATCGGAATCATCATCTTCCGCGTTGGAATAAGAAACACAAGGAAGACTGCAATGGTGAAGTATGCCATTAACAAGCGTGCCAGTAGGATTCCCAGGCGCAGGATGAACAACCTAAGAATTGGAGAGATATTCTTAGTGATGATTCTAAAGTCATAATCTAAGTATATTGAGAGAATGAGATTACCATGTGAGCTGGTTTGTTAACAACAAGAACATGTTTATCTTCATAAACTATATCCAATGGTATGTCTTCAGCTTCAGCTTTCAAAGGTTGAAGTTCTGAAATTGTACAATTAACCTCATCGCCAGCTTTGACATTGTGCGAAACCTGGAAGAGAGTGAGAGAGAGATTGAAATTTGATTAAGAAATTGAAATTTTGAAGAATCGAATCCGAAGTTAAACCTTATCAACGACTCGACCATTGACGGTAACGAGTCCCAATCGTATACTCGACTGGACACGAGCTCGACTAACGCCATTGACACGAGAAGAGATCCATGAATCAAGACGAATCTTCCCTTTCAAGGCGTCTACTGTCTCCTCGATTCTGAGTCCGGCGTTATTAACTCTGGGGATGATAATCTCCGTCGGACCACAGGCGACCAAATTGGGGATTCCGGAACTTGCTCTGACGAAATTAGAAACCCTAGGGAAGAAGGAGAAGAAGAGAGAGAGAGACGAAGAAGGAGAAGAAGAAGGATAACGAAGAGATTTGACGGAGATTAACGAGAAACTCGGCAGCTGAGAGATTGAGAGCATCGTCGACAAACTTCAAAAATCTTGTTTCGCTTCTCTGAGAGAAAATCAAAAGCCTCTAGATAGAGTAGAGGGTTTCCCACTCTTTCTTTTGATGCCGTTAAAAAACAAGAACAAAGCTTCTAAAACGCTGTGCCTATTATAAATGGGCCTTAAAAGGCCTTTTTCATTTTACTTCATACTGACGCAAGTACAACACAATTCATTTGTATGCACTAATTCTCATTGCATTCGTGTTTATTATTAGTTTACTTTATATATAGTAGAAGCAAAGCACCCATCATTGTAGTTGAAGATATCATCTAATCAGCTTTGGATCTGAATCTGTAGTTCCTTTCCTCATCATCGCCACAAATTCCTCGTAGTTTATCCTCCCATCCTATCAATCAACATCATCATTATTAATCATTTTCTTTAACATTCATCATCATCTTTAGCCAGTAATAAAGACAACTAGAAATAAATGTCTTTTCTTACATTGTCCGCATCAACATCATTGAGAACTTCATCTATGGTCGCATCATCACCCATACCATACTGAGTCATGGAATGTTTAAGCTCGTCCCTTGTGATAAATCTGATTTTTGAAAAAAGAAGAGTATGTTTTGAAGGCAATTCGATCTTTAATATAGTAGTTCGTGTTCATTTGGGTGAAGAATACAAACCCGCTTCTGTCTTTGTCGAAGAATTTAAATGCTTCTATCAAATTCTCTTCTTTCTCCAATCTATGACGATGCATTGTTGCAGTTATGAACTCAATGTAGTCAATCGTCCCACTTTTGTCCACATCAGCCTATAAATGAACAAAAACCATTGACAAAGTTTAGCTTTTAGATTTATTTTGCATGGTTTGATAACTAACTAATTGGATTTGTTTCCTTTTCTTACAGCTTCCATGAGTTGTTTGATTTCAGATTCTGTAAGCTTAGATCCAAGACGATGTAATCCGCTTCTTAGTTCATCAAAAGTGATGGTGCCACTTCCATCTGTATCCATGTTCTTAAACATTTGCTTTAATCCCTTTATCTCTTCTTCGGATAAGTTTTCCGCTATCACCTAAAAAAATAAAAAAAATACAACGAATATTAAACTTTTTCATATCGATCTTGAAATCATTTTAGAGATGGAGAATCATTTAAATTTACCTTCAAGGCAAGTTTCTTGAGCTTGTTCATTGCGCGGAACTGCTTCATCCTAATAAGAACAGCGCTATCGATTGGTTTATCTGATATTTTGATGTCTGTCATCCATGGATGCTCTGTTTTTTTCCGATAAAAATCCGCAACAAAAGATCAGTTAGCAAGGACTTAGGAGCAGGAGGTAGAATATGTTACAAATGTATACTCATTGCAAACATACCAAGTGCTTCAGCTGCGGTAATCCTCTTTTTAGGATCTCTTGTCAACATTTTTCTAATCAAATCTTTTGCGCTTTCCGATATAGTTGGCCAAGGAGAAGTTTCAAGATCCAGCTTGCCTTCTAAGATCGCCTCAAATATAGTCTTCTCGGTCTCTAAACAACATTAAGTAGTACCAAATATCAGGTCTCCAACATTCTTCAAGCTAACTATATATATGATATATTGACTTTAGATTCGTGTTTTTTTTTTGTTGCATACCTCCCCAAAATGGAGGAACACCACTGAGAAGAATGTAAAGCATGACACCTGCACTCCATACATCGATCTCTTTCCCGTAGTTTCGTTGTAGAACTTCAGGTGCAACGTAGTATGCGCTCCCAACTATATCTCTATACACTTTACCTACAAATTTTAATCATATAGATATGGTTACTTGTAAGGCTTTCAAAATACAGAACCAAAGTTTTAGCTAATTTGCATTCAAACAGATTCGTTTTTTTTTTTTTTTTGGTGTGAATCAAAATGTTCAAAAGAATACTATTTCCCTATAAAATGATTTCTGTTGCTTTCTTGTTGTCAATTTTTAATCTTGTGGGAAACATCTGTTGACTTGGGTTGACCCAAGTCGTTTTCGAAGTTGACTTGGTGTCCCACACGGAGATACAATGTCGCTATCATCTTTTTTCTTGATTCTAACACAAGTTTAAACATTATGGTTTATCTCCTAAAACACACTAACTACTCAATGTAAAAGCAAAGACAAATTAATCTTTGAAACAAGAGTCAAAACACTTAATTTGGTTCGTAAAATATACTAACACGAGAAAAGAAACACCCATAATTTAAGTAATCAAGAAGATGACTTTACCTTCTTCGATGAAAACAGAGAGGCCAAAATCTGTTGCTTTGATGGGAGAATCTTCTTCATTACTAACAAGCAAGAAATTCTCAGGCTTTAAGTCTCTATGAACAACGCCCATGAAATGACAAACATGAACAACATTAACGATCTGTCTGAAGATATTAGCAGCTTCTTTCTCAGAGTAACTTCCTTTCTTGATGATACGATCAAAAAGCTCTCCTCCAGAACAGAGCTCCATAACCAAATGAAGATTGTCTTTGTCTTCATACGCACCTCGAAACTCGACGATGTTTGGTTGACCAGTAAGGTGTTGCAAGATTATGACCTCACGTCTCACGTCTTCGATGTCTTTGCGACGTATGAGTTTACGTTTTGAGATGGATTTGCAGGCGTATTCTCGGCCGTTGGATTTGTCCGTACATTTGTAAGTGATTCCGAATTGGCCACGGCCTAGTTCTTTGTGGAGGTCGTAGAGAGCTGAGAGATCGATCATTGGTCGGTTTAGGATTGGACCGATTTGTGAACCGGAGGATGATGAAGGAGGAGGAGGAGCCGGTTTGGGTTTGGGCTGAGGATTGGAGGCGGGATTACTGGTTTGACCTTGAGAAACAGTTGGTTTAGGGAGAGGTTGGTAGTGATGAGGAGGGCTAGAATCGGAAGAGGAAGAGATTGGGATCTCATGGGTTTGTGATTTGCAGAATTTGGAGAAGCAAAAACCCATAATTTTTTTTCTAAGAAAATAGTTTGTTCCAATGTTTTTGGTCGTTTTATGTTGGTTTTTAAGCATGTGAGCAAAGTAGATCGGTCGTCGACTCTTTGGTCTTAATCTTTTGGTCCTTTATATTGGATGTCTTTTTAAAAAAAAATAAAGGGAAGATGAATACATAAAAATGAAATTTAAACGAAATGAAAAAAAGTGTTGCCTTTGGTTGGTTATGTGGGGGTGCTTTGCTTTTGCGTTTAGAGAAGGTTAGGGTATCATTTTCCCTCAATGTGGCCCTTTGGAGTGGGACTCTCTAGGTTCTCCTCTTCCTTTGCAAAAATATTAATCAACGCGTAAATTTAAGTTGCTTTTAAAGTAGCAAAAATTGTGAACTAAAGTTAGATGACTAATTGATTATAGATAACGAAGATTGCGATTGATTGGAAACTGGACAAAACTAGGCTTAGTTCAATAATCTAATCTAATTCTATTTCGGTGGTCTATCGTCTCATCATGATTGTTTTCGACAATACTAAGTGCAAATTTAAAGATACAAACGTAGTAGATTTTCCAAAGGCTATTACTAATTACCACTTTTACTTTATCCAGAAAATGGATTGACAATGTATGTACTTATAATCCCATTTATGAACCAATCTCAACAAATTCGTACAAAAAAAGGGAAGGTAATACAATACGACATCGTTTTATCGATTTTTATTTTCACTTTGGAACACAACAGAACCAAAAAAAATATCACCAGATATGGAGAGACGGAATATATAGCTCTTCTTTGTTTTCCTCTATAAAATACGCACCAAATAATACACATCACAAAATTCACACTTTTCTTCTCAAAAGAGTTTCGATAAGATAACCTCCATTACCTCATTTTAAGTGGTTGAGTCGCGGCTGTAGAATTGGTCAAGTGTCTTTGCAGGGATACGATGAAGAAGCTCCCGTGGGAAGATACGGAGCAATGTCCAAGCTAAGTCCAGCGACTGAAAAATGTTGCGTGTGTCATAAGCTCCTTGCATTACAAACTTCCTCTCAAACTTATCCAAAAACTCTAGATAAAGCAGATCCTCTGAAGAAAGTGCTTCTTCTCCAACAACAGCTTTCATCGCTTGAACATCTTTCCCGATTGCATAATTCGCATACAGCTGGTTCGACACATCTGAATGATCTTTACGAGTCATGCCCTCACCAATAGCACTCTAACAGAATGAGAAACAATACGTTACTAAGATCTGGAGATAGAATGCATTTGGTATTAAACAAAATGGAGTTGAATTCTAACCTTCATTAAACGAGAAAGGGATGGAAGCACGTTGATGGGTGGATATATCTGTTTTTCAGGAAGAAACAAAGATACATTCATTCAGGGCCGCATTCATAATATAAGCGAAACCAGTAAGATCAGATCCTGGTGGGAGTTATTTCTTACCTGTCTGTTGTGAAGTTGCCTATCGATATATATCTGACCTTCAGTAATGTAACCAGTAAGATCCGGAGTTGGATGAGTGATGTCTGATTAATATTTTAAAAACAACGAGTCAGAACTGAGTTTTCTCAAAGTACAAAATAGAAATCTGGGTAAAGATATGTTTTCTACCGTCATTGGGCATAGTAAGGATTGGGATTTGGGTGATGGAACCTTTTCTTCCTTCAATACGCCCAGCACGTTCATAAATAGTTGCAAGATCAGTGTACATATAACCTGGATATCCACGTCTTCCGGGAACCTCTTCTCGGGCAGCGGAAACCTACAGTTTCTCAATCTTATTATCAAACCTGAAGAAACAAAAACACGGTATGATATAAAGGGACTACTCCGGTATTAAAGATTCATTTTACCTCACGGAGAGCATCAGCATAAGAACTCATATCTGTCAATATAACAAGGACGTGTTTCCCACATTCATAAGCCAGATATTCAGCTGTTGTGAGGGCAATTCGAGGAGTGATGATTCTCTCAATGGTTGGGTCATTGGCCTGTTGGAATAATGGAAAGTCAAATCCGTTTTAAGCTAAGAAATATATAAAATACTAAAAAACACCATGATATGGAAATAAGCTATAGAAGTCACACTTAGTAAATTTACCAGGTTCAGGAAAAGAGTAACTCTCTCCATTGATCCATTTTCTTCAAAATCTCGCTTGAAGAACTGAGCTGTTTCCATGTTCACACCCATAGCTGCAAACACAATTGCAAAATTGTCCTCTCCATGATCCTAAAAAACACGAGAGGGAGAAAGAATAATTGAGATTATGAGACAGCCAACGTTGAATAGGAATGTCTACAAACAAGAAATTCAATTTTGACAACAACTGAGTTTCTTTTATAAGCATAGAGCATCTAAATTGAAGACCTTTAGATGTAACTACAAATCCATGAACACACATGTAGAAACAGTAACAACTCAAATAAGTGCTTTAGCGAATTGTTCTGATCATAGAGGAATAAAAGATATATTTGTGGTGGTACAACTACAAATTATAAAGGATTACCTCAAGTAGATCAACAGTCTTTTCCAAACGCTTGACAAGACCAGCCTGACGACAAATCTGAGCAGCTATTTCATTATGTGGAAGACCAGCAGCAGAGAAAAGCGGAATCTTCTGTCCACGAGCAATGGAATTCATGACATCGATGGTGGAAATTCCTGTCTGTATCATTTCTTCGGGATAGGTTCTTTCACTGGGGTTGATTGAACTTCCTATAAATATAACACACAGACACATTTTAGAAAAAATGAAAACACATAGACAGAATATTGCTTCAGAGATCTCATCAATGGAGAAATTTTCCTCTTTGAAGCTCACCTGAGATATCAAGGTATGCCTCTGGCAAAATAGGAGGGCCATTATCAATCGGTTTTCCTGAACCGTTAAATATGCGCCCAAGCATGTCCAATGACACAGGAGTTTTCAAAACCTGAAAACACACAAAACCGGTTTTAAAAAAAAAAATGCAGGAAGTAGAAAAATTAACCAATCATTTCAACAAATCTGCGAAAACGCAGGATTTATGGTAAATTACCTCTCCTGTGAATTGCACGGTGGTAAACTTGTTGTCAATTCCAGATGTTCCTTCAAAAACCTGAAACCCTTAGATGAGTAAGTCACTGAAAAAGTAACTAGATTCACATAGTTTGTGTTTACGTATTATCCAAAGTTTGAAGTGACATGGTCAAAAAAATCCTAAACCTGCACAACTGCTTTTTCGCCGTCAACTTCCAAAACCTGACCACGTCTCGTTGATCCATCTCCTAATCGAATATTAACAATCTCCTGGTACTTTGGACCCTGATTTATCATTACAGTACAACAAGTATTAAGTTTCCCTCACAAAGTAAATTAGCATTGCTTAACGGTCAAATGATGTTTCCTACCTTCACTTTGTCAAGAATGACCAATGGTCCAGCAACACCAGAAACAGTTCTATACTCTGTGCAATTCAAAAGATTCATGAATCAGTCTTATACTAAAGAAATATAGTTAACAACATCAGCGAGACGCAAACGAGTCAATAACATAGATAAGCAAGGTCAAAAGGAGCCAGAGTACTAGAAAATCCCTATAAAAACCAGATTTGGAGGATAAGTTCTGAATCAATATAGTGTGATCCATGATCGGTGACTTACCCATGCCGATCTCCAGAGTCCCTTCTTCGATGTCGAGATCATTCGTCCCCATTTTCACAGATCAAAGATAAACCAAATCAAGCTGTTCCTGAAATCAATCAACGACGCAGTCCACAATACAAAATCAATTGAAATTTCGATCCAATCATACAAACTAGAAAATCCGGTGAAAGTGAAAGAACTTGGGACAAAGGAAACAGACGCAATAGAATTTTCCGATGATCTAAATCCAACCAAATACGTACCTGGAAAGTTTCGATTCGAGGAGAGAGAGAGAGAGAGAGTTATGGTTTACGAGTCTCTCTGTGAACGTAGTTGGACCATATCTCAAATCTCATTTTTGTAGAGAGAGGCTCTTATTTACGTTTATTTACATTTAAAGACCAAACTCTATAAATTGCAAAAATGTCCGATTACAAGATTGCGTTTCTGCCACGTCAGCATTAATGAAATCAACGGTTACAGATGAAAGAGAAGTGTCTGTCTCGCTTAGCTTCCGAGTAATCGTAGCCGTTGCTTACATTCACCGACACCGTCTCTCTGTTTTTAATAATCTCCGGCGATCCTGGGAAGAGAGAAAAAGTGTGAGCTAGAGAATAATGATTCGAACGATTTTGTTGTTCCTTGTCGTCTTCGTCACTGAGACGCGAGTACAAGCGCAGCTAGTGCCGCCGGTGAAGCAAGATGGCTTCGTTTACCCACCGGGTCATCGTTTTGACCCGGATACTATACTAATTGAGGCGTATTTTGACCCGGTTTGCCCGGACAGTAGAGACTCTTGGCCGCCTCTGAAGCAAGCTCTTCGTCACTATGGATCTCGCGTTGCCTTTCTCCTCCATCTCCTTCCTTTACCGTCAGTACTCTTAGTTCTCTCTTCGCCTTCAAATTTTGTTCTGAGCTTAAATTGAATTTGTTCTACTGAACCAGTAGCTACCACATGCCATTTTATAATCTATCATAATTCCTGTATTGATTAATTTGAACTATTATAATCGATCGACAAGTACGTTTAAGAAAGGTCTGGACTTTAAAATATGTTTCCTTCCTTATCTGTTTTATGATTAGTTTCATGAAAATGTGAATGGTTCATTTGAGATTTGTAGGTATATTTGTTCCTGTAATGAATCTTTCTTCGGTTTTCTTGGCTTTTAGAATTTGCAGCTACCATGACAATGCATATGTAATCATTCTTTTTTCAAATATTTGTTCTAGTAATCAATCTTTTTTCGGTTTTAATGGCTTATATTGCAGCTACCATGACAATGCTTATGTAACTTCTCGGGCCTTACACATTGTGAATACCGTAAACGCCAATGCTACTTTCAGTTTACTGGAAGGGTTCTTCAAGCATCAGGTTTGTTCAATGTTAATACTAAAAACTTGTCCCATCTTGTAGAGAGCTAAAACTTATCTATTTGTGAATTTATCTGAAGCTGCTGTTTATTGTTTGCATTTATTAATGTTTATCTTGTTCACTGAAACTGTTTGTTCTTTTGACAGCCATTGTTCTACAACGCGCAAACAAACCTCCTGACAAGAGCTGCAGTTGTAGAGAAAATAGTCGAACTTGGAACAGTCACGTTGGGAAAGTCATATCAATCGGTCCTCAAATCTGGCTTCAGCGACAAAAAATCGGATCGTGCTACCAGGGTTTCCTTCAAGGTAATTCCTTTAGTAACTAAAATTTCTTACAGGAAGGTCATTGGCTGCATAGTCATCATCTTATTATGCTGCCTTGCATCTATATCTCACAAGAAAATGAGTAGGGTCAGCCGTCAGGGCAATAGAAGAATACTGAGTTTAATGGCCTGAATCTTTACCCTATCAAGTATAAATTGAGACCTATTTGTCGATAATACCCCGTGGCTGTTCTCGATGTTACCTGAAAACGAACAATAGTAACTTTTAGTTCATATTTTACTTTCTGTGGCGTTGTGTGTTGCAGTATAGCGGTTCAAGAGGGGTTTATGGGACACCAACCTTCTACGTTAACGGGTTTGTATTGTCTGATGCTGCTTCCCCCTCAAACTTTGGAGGATGGAAAAAAATCATTGACCCTCTGGTTCAAGCACATAAGGTGGAAGGTAACTTCATTCCCTACCTTCGAAGATCTTAAGTGCTTTTGCTGTGTCATGGTACTATCTGTAATGTATAAACTTCTTCAAAATCTGTATGTTGCCCATTGTAAATTTGTAATAAATGGAAGTCATTCATATAAAAGTTGGCCAGCCCAGTTGTATTAAACAGAAATTGTAATACATGGTAATAAATTGTAATTTTTTTCTGTATAGACAATTAATTTATCAAATGGACTTATGATTTGGCCATGTAATACGTATAATCTATTGCAGTCTATATTGATGTAATATAATAAAAATATTTTTTTAAAATACAATTATCAAAATCACATGCTGAATTTACTGTTAAACTCCGATATTGCTATTTATTTAAATAGATTTATTATTTTTATACACCAAATTATCCATATCTCAAAACTGTGGCCTACTTTTGTTTTAATAGTAGTGAACCAAACGAATCCTCCATCTGTCTTGGTGTTAACGACGTGAGAGGAAGTGTGTAGATGTGATCATGTGAGAAAGCTTTGTTAATACATATCTGCGGATTCACAGCCGAATATATAACCTCGACGAAAAAACATAAGGTACATTTTTTCAGATCATTAAAACAGAATTAATGGACATTTTTACTTGATTCTCTAATAAAAAGGACAAAAGAATGACTCATTATGTCATCATTTCACCGTTAATTAATTATGCTACTAGTCTTACATTGTTTCACTTTTCGGATTGTACAACAACAAAAAAACACTTAAATGCTTCTCACGTTTGTTGGGTCAAGACTCCCAACAATATTTTATTTTGTAATTATAGATGGTTACAACAATTATATTGTAACTAAAATTCAAAGAGGCATTACTTTTCTTTTCTCCTAAGAAAACATAGATCTCAGTTTCTTGTTGAACTTTAGCAGTTATTATATGGTTGATCATGAAAGTTTCGAAACATTATTAAATACTGGTGGTACAATTAGATTTTTTGCGTAAAAGCTGATAAAATTTTAAATGTTCGTCTAAAGCATAGAGATAACACATACACGTTCTTCAAATATTTAAATTAAACTACAATTTTGTCTTTTTATTATATTTATAGATTAATTAATACTAGTTAGTACCGAAAATCCAGATTCTGTCTATTAATAACGTGTAGATTTGGTTCTCATCTAAACAATTAATTATATTTTATTTTCTGAAAAAGCCATTTAGACTTTTTCCTTCGCATTTTGTGCAACTGGATAATCTTCTTCAAGTTTTTATTACAAAGAATTTGGACTTTACTCTCTCACAAAAAAAAAAGCGCAACTAAACCGAAAAAATCAATGTAAATCGAAATCCAAAACATCCCCGGTCACATATCGGTTCAGAACCCAAATTACCGGATCTAATATTACGAGTAACGAATAAACGACCGAGGATGCCAAAATTAATAGGTGGTTATTACGGTTATTTTATCGGTTCAGTTTGAAAATCTTGGTTCGGTTCAATTGGGTTTAGAACCGATTAGGGTAGTGCAACGTGTGTGTGTGGAAGAGAAGTAGTGCGGCTGATATATATCAGAGAGGCGCTTTGCATCAAAAGCTTCTTCTTAGGGCGTATAAAGGAGAAGAAACAAAGCCGTACAAAGAGGGCTCTTCCTGGGCACAAACAAAAACCACCATTTTCGTTTTATCTGAATCTTCGTCTCTCTCGAAAGATCTAACCACAACTCCTCCTTAAGGTACAAAACTATCAAACCTATTATGAATTTTTCAAGATAAATCCCGATTGTATTCCTTTTTTGTCTGGTTTTTGTGTGTGTTTGCTACAAGGATTTGACGAAATTCAAAAACCCTAGTTTTCTCACTGATTTTCCTTTGGGTGATTCAGATGGATAAGTATCAACGAGTGGTGAAGCCGAAAGCGGATACGCCGATTGATGCGAACGAGATTCGTATCACTAGTCAGGGCAGGGCACGAAACTACATCACCTATGCGATGACTCTTCTTCAGGTATTCGATGAATCTGAAATGTGTCTATTCACAATTCATGGTTTTTCTTTTGGTGGCGTGAGATATGGTTTAGGGTTTATCAAGTCAAAGAAGTTCTGAATCTTGAGATCAATTACTTTGAGGTTTAATATAAGCACTTTTGTAATCTAGGCGGTATATACTTCACAATTAATTAGAATTAAAAAGTGATTAGATTTTTTTGCTTCATTTATGTTAAGTCTAGAAGTTTTGTTAACATGAGTTTGCTTCTGATAACTTTATGAGGTGAAAAATGATTTTGCTAACAAATTTGGTTTGTTTGTATAGGAGAAAGGGTCAACTGAAGTTGTTTTCAAGGCAATGGGAAGAGCTATCAATAAGACTGTGACCATTGTAGAGCTGATTAAGGTATTTTTGAGATTTGTCCTTTCCAATTCACAAAATGTTGTTCAGATATTTGAAAATGTCCTTTTTAATATGTATTGCAGAGAAGGATTCCTGATCTTCATCAGAACACATCTATTGGATCCACAGACATAACAGACACATGGGAACCAACAGAGGAAGGCCTTCTACCGTAAGGGGCCTATAAAAGCTCATTTTTATTATGCTCTACTGTTTCATGTTTTGTCACCATTGCAAACTTTACTTATTTCTTTCCTTTTTGTTGTGTCTTGAAGTTTGGAGACTACAAGGCATGTGTCAATGATAACCATTATCCTATCCAAGATTGAGCTTAATACCTCCTCTGTTGGGTGAGTTTCATGTTTTGATGTTTTTGAACATTCTTTTCTTGTCCTTAGCCATGATCAGAAAATTTGTTTACATTTTTTGACAACCTTCTTTATTGTATCCCTGATTTTTATTTGCGGCCTCATAGCTTCTTATTCTAATATTTTTGATCAAATGATGTTTCAGGTACCAGTGCCCAATTCCTATTGAGATGGTGAAGCCAATGGGCGATATCGATTATGAAGGGCGAGGTATGTCAATGTCACCCTCACTGACTTTCTAAACCCCCCTTGTACCTGCTGTTTTCATAAGTGTCCTTTTTCATTTTTCTTGCAGAGGGTTCACCTGGTGGCAGAGGGAGGGGAAGAGGAAGAGGAAGGGGAAGAGGAAGGGGGCGAGGCGGCAGAGGTTGTTAGATTACTTTTGAAATGCCCTATACAGATCACCACACTTATGTGAATGTTGAGTATGATTTTGAACATATGATTCATGGATATTTAATAGTGTCATATTTCATTTTTTTGCTGTCAGGAAATGCTTATGTGAACGTTGAGCATGAAGATGGAGGTTGGGAACGTGACCAGTCCTATGGTAGAGGAAGAGGACGTGGCAGAGGACGCAGCAGTCGTGGTCGTGGAAGAGGAGGATACAATGGTCCTCCAAATGAGTATGATGCACCGCAAGATGGAGGTTATGGTTACGATGCTCCTCCTCATGAACACCGTGGATATGATGACCGTGGTGGTTACGATGCCCCTCCTCAGGGCCGCGGCGGTTATGATGGTCCCACTCAGGGCCGCGGCGGTTATGATGGTCCTCCTCAGGGCCGCGGCGGTTATGATGGTCCTCCTCAGGGCCGCGGCGGTTATGATGGTCCTCCTCAGGGCCGCGGCGGTTATGATGGTCCTCCTCAGGGCCGCGGCGGTTATGATGGTCCTCCTCAAGGCCGTGGTAAAATAATCAAAACACTTATTCTTTTTACCGGGTTTTTGAACCGTAGTTGTGTGAATAAGTCATGAGTTTTGAATTGGTTTGATGCAGGGCGTGGACGCGGACGCGGAAGGGGAGGTCGTGGAAGAGGAGGAGGTCGTGGTGGTGGTGGAGGATTCAACAACAGATCAGATGGACCACCAATCCAGGCAGCTGCTTGAGAGTGAGGTTTCTTTTACACAAACATAAAAAGAAAAAAGCCCAAGTCGTTGGATGTTTTTTTTTTCTATCTCCTTGTTCCCTCTCTTTCTTTCTATGTTTGCTTCTTCTGTCCATCAAGAAGACATGTTTGCCATAAGTGTATCTCTTTCCCTTTTCTTTATCCATTGATTCACAGTTTGTTGTCTGTTTTGTTTAGAGTCGCTTAGGGTATAATATATGTTCAATTTATTTATGGTTGGGTTTTTGTTAGAGAAGAACTAGTGAGGCATCCTCTTTCCTTTCTTTTTCCTTTCTGTTTTGTAGTTTTGTTTAGAGGTGAGAGTGAGACACAGTTTGGACAAATTAACTCTTTTCTTCTTTGGTTATCAGTTTTAATGTGATGGAACAGTTGATTCTTTTATTTCCAAAGGACCCCTGTAATGTTGAACTATTTTATAATCAGAGTTAAAACTTAAAAGTGGCGATGCACTGCGCAGACGAAAGCAGCTTTTCATAAATCATAAATGACCAGTGAAGCAGAAGCCATCGATTCTCGAATTGGTTCACTGTTGGGTTATCTTCAAAATTCTGAAAAGAGGTCTATGACAAAGAAAGCTCATAAGTTAAAACGACAGCGTATCAAATATATGACACTATATAAAAAATTTAACGCCGTTGCCGGGGATCGAACCCGGGTCACCCGCGTGACAGGCGGGAATACTTACCACTATACTACAACGACTTTGATGTTTGAGTTACTGATTTTACTTATATATTAATAAATATAATATCTGTCTTGAAGGAAAAGAAAAAGCAAAAGGAAAACGTCGTGCTACTTATGTTGTTTAAGCCCTGCTATCTCCTCAAATCAATTTTATCTACCTTTGTGAAGAGGAGGAAGACTGAGATTTGCGAAAAAAGATGACTCAAGACGTAGAGATGAAAGATAATCAAACCCCAACTGAATCCGTCGTCTCTGCTCCTACCTCCACGCTACAGAGTAAATCTTCATCTTATGCTTAAGTTTCGCTTAATCTCACATTGCTAGGTTTGTTTCAAAATTGAATTCATTGGAATGCTTTTTTTCCCAGATTTGAAGGAGATTGCAGCTCTGATTGATACCGGATCTTATACCAAGGAAGTCCGTCGTATTGCTCGTGCTGTGCGTCTCACCGTCGGACTACGACGACAGCTCACCGGTTCCGTGATCTCTTCTTTCCTTGATTTCGCTTTGGTTCCTGGATCTGAAGCTCATACTCGTCTTTCTTCTTTTGTTCCCAAGGTATGTGTTGCTTCATGTAAGTTTGCTTTTTCTCCCATCGGAACTGTGAGCTTATTAGGTGTTGTAACTTGCGGATTTTAGATTCATGTATTAGTGTTTACACTTAATTTGATGCTTCTAACGATTGAATCTATAATAATGGTTCAGAGTGATGAACATGACATGGAAGTCGATACAGCATCATCTACTTCTCAAGCTCCTCCTAAGCATTTACCCGCTGAGCTCGAGATTTACTGCTACTTCATTGTTCTCCTTTTGCTCATTGATCAGAAAAAGTACAGCGAGGTTTACTTCTTCTATCTCTCTGAGGGTTTTCATTTACATACTTTGTTTATTAATCCTGCCGAGGTCTTAACTCGATACGTGGTTGTGCTTTCTTAACTTTCAGGCCAAAGCTTGTTCTTCAGCTAGCATTGCTCGCCTCAAAAACGTTAACAGGAGAACCGTTGATGTCATTGCTTCGAAATTGTATTTTTACTACTCTTTAAGCTACGAGCTGACAGATGATCTTGCAGAGATACGTAGGTGAGTAGTAGTTCACAGTCACTTTGTTTTCGTCTTTATAACTTTCTCATATTTGCTCAACAGTCAATTATCTGATTAACGTGTTTCTCTTTCTCTTGCAGTACTCTTCTTGCTCTTCACCATTCGGCGACACTCCGCCATGACGAACTGGGCCAGGTGCGTAATTTTCAATATTTCCCAAACAATCAATCGTATGAAACTTTTGCTTTGATTATTATAACTGCCTTTCATGTTTCAGGAAACACTTTTGAATTTGTTGCTCCGCAACTATCTTCACTACAACCTCTACGACCAAGCAGAGAAGTTGAGATCGAAAGCACCTCGATTTGAGGCACACTCTAACCAACAGGTAACCTTTCAATTATGCCTTCATGCATTTGGCATTGTGGCTTTCTAGTTCTAAGTTATTCTGTGTATATCTAGTTCTCTGATGCCAACCTTTCATGGTCAATATCTCCAAATTGCATTCACATATTCTTTTTACTCTCATGATATGTTGCTATGCCATGCTCATGTTCATTTATGTATGTTGCACTATGGTTATACCTTCTGTAGTTCAGTTTTCTTGTTTCTCTTTCTGAAACTGCTCGCTGATCAGTTTTTCTCAACACTACCTCGCATTCTTTGTTTACTTCATTTGAACCTTCTCCTTGTTTCTTAGACACCCATATTCACAACAGTATATATATTCTCTCTAGCTGGAGGATACGCATCTCATGATATGATTTACAGTTTTGTAGGTACCTGTTTTACTTGGGGAAGATCCGGACGATTCAACTAGAGTACACTGATGCAAAAGAGAGTCTCCTCCAAGCTGCTAGGAAAGCACCTGTTGCATCTTTGGGCTTCAGAATTCAGTGCAACAAGTGGGCTATTATAGTTCGCCTGCTGTTGGGTGAAATACCAGAACGGTCAATCTTCACTCAGAAGGGAATGGAGAAGCCTCTGAGGCCATACTTTGAGCTTACCAATGTGAGTTCATCTTTGCATCTGTGACATATAGTGGAACTAATGTCCCCTTACTTACATCATTGTTTGACTTTTGACAGGCTGTGAGAATTGGTGACTTGGAGCTGTTTGGGAATGTCCAAGAGAAGTTTGCAGAAACCTTTGCGAAAGACAGGACTCACAACCTCATAGTCAGACTCCGACACAATGTGATCAGAACAGGACTGCGCAACATCAGCATTTCCTACTCCAGAATCTCTCTACAGGACGTTGCACAAAAGCTAAGACTGAACTCAGCGAACCCAGTGGCTGATGCAGAAAGCATTGTGGCTAAAGCCATTAGAGATGGAGCAATCGACGCAACCATCGACCACAAGAACGGTTGTATGGTCTCCAAGGAAACAGGAGACATCTACTCCACTAACGAACCGCAGACTGCGTTTAACTCGAGGATTGCGTTCTGTTTGAATATGCACAATGAAGCAGTTAGAGCGTTGAGGTTCCCGCCAAACACGCACAAGGAGAAAGAAAGCGACGAGAAAAGGAGGGAGAAGAAACAGCAAGAAGAGGAGCTAGCTAAATACATGGCTGAAGAAGACGATGATGATTTCTAGATTTCATACAAGTTCTTCTATTTTGTCTGTTATAAGAATCGTTATCTCGAATTATCTGACTTTTATCTTGTTCTTATGCACATTAGTTCTTTCAATTTATGATAATCAAAAACTCAGAACTTTGTTACGTATCTTATTTGGATTTGAATTTTCAGAGCTCTATCAAATTTTGGTGATATAATTCACAGAAGAAGTGAGTTTGTATGTGTAATCTAGAAGAACGTATTCAAACCCAAGATCAGTAGATGGGCCTAGTATAAGGCCCATTAGTTATCTAATTACAAATCGGCGAAGTAACTCCGATTGTTTTTCCGCCGTCGAAGGTTAAACACTCGAAACGATCTTCTGAAACTTTCGGAGAATGGAGATTCAAAAGCCTGAGGTAGCGAAGAATCCAGAAATTGAAGATACAATCGAATTAACCCAGCAAAGGAGACACGACGAAGTAGAAGATTGCGACGAGCAACAACATAAGCAGCATCAAGCTGAAGAAGATGAGGAAGACGAATTGCGAAAGCTTCTGCTTTCAGATATTGGAGAGCTTCCGATTTCTCCTCCTTCAGCTACACAAGTCAATTTCGTTTCTTACTTCATTACAGGTTCTCAGATTTCAACTACTGTACCTTTTGATAGTGAGAAGTGAATTAAAACCCTTTACAATGTTTTGCAGATTTTACGAAATCGGGTCATGATCAATATATTTACCGTCACGCAAATGGGTATGTCAAAGATTGTTCCTTTTGCTGTTTCGTGAATCTCTTTGAAATGATGAAAATTGGTTTCCTTCTTACTTGTGTGTGTTGTTTGATAGTTTGTGTGTAATTGGATTGGCTCCTACGCATATAGCTTTTAAGGATGAAGGTGGAATCACTAACGTCGATTTCAATGTCGGTAAGTCTGATCGTAGCGTCTTGAAAGTCTCCGGCAAGCGTAAAAAGGTGGCTTTCTCTTGATTATTGCTGGCCTCGATCTTAGACTTTTGCTTATTGTTATAGCTTGAAATTGTTTTTTTCATTGTCTTGATTGAGGCTAGATTCTGGCGTTAGCTAATGTTTTTTTCTCGCTCTTCTTGTGTAGAATGCGTTGCGCTCTGAATCGAATACAGCATTGTGCAAAGTTTCCACTGCAAAAGATTCCTACATTGTGAGGTGCAACGCTTTTTTTCTGGTTTTACTTTTCTTTGTCCTAGGTTCTCATATGCAAAAAAAATTGAAGTTGTCTTTGTTCTGAGTTGGTTTTTGCTAGGTGCTGCGTTAAAGGCTCTCTCTTGGAGGTCAACGAGAGATTAATTAGGCAACCAGAGCTTCTTAATTCATCGGTAAGAAATAAGAGAAGATATGTTTGAATTACCAAGCTTTCTCTTGTCTAATAAATCCCCAAAATTGATGAACCAATGAAAATCTCATGTTTTTTTTTGCTATGAGTCTCTATTGTTGTTGCATCTTCTATAACAATTTGAGCTCTTATGTTATACTTTCAATGTCAAGAATTTTGCTTATGGAATCAGTCGGATAACTCAAATATCATTGTTTCTTTGCTTTTATACATGAGTAAGATAAAGCTGTGATATTCTGTATCTTGATTCTTATAAAATCTAATTATTTCAGGCTGACCGGGAAGGGTATATTGCGATAATCATGCCAAGACCTGCAGATTGGACCAAAAACAAGGAATCACTGATAACTCTGGAGGAATATAAACAAAAGAAAGAAATTCCTTTATGATAGTCTGCCGAAACTTTGGAACCGTGTTTGCTCTGAAGCTGATGCCGATGATGATTAGGGCCATTAGGCTTAAGTCAGATTAGGTTGAGTATTTTGAAGCTCTTTTGCGGTCTAATCTGTTGAAGGTCTACAATATTTTGACTGTTGTGTTGTGTTTTGGCTGACAAAACAATTTTGGGTCTAATGTTCTTCATGAAACCTTTTTACTTTCCTGTACCAGAAAACACGAGATTACCAAATATATTTTGATTTTAGAAGCTGTTCTTTTTTTTTTCCCGGTAACAAAACTATATAATTCAAGCGTGTATTATAGTTTATGCACATAATTCAGCTGTAATAAGTTTTATTTCGAGGAATTGTGATTTTTTGTCAAGTCCAAAGTCAACTAGATATATAATTATTATTATTTTTATTTAAATGTCTAATTGTAATTCAACTAGGATTAAGGAAGGAAAAATTCCCAAAAAAAACCCCAAGTAATTTTTATTTGGAAGTTTAATGTCCAATTCTTTTGTGTTGGTCTAAAAATACTTTAGTTAATTAATTGTTGTCAATTAAATCGTAAACTTATTACTGATGGTCGTTTAAGTTATTCGACTTAACAGACGTTTAATCGGCTGACGGAATCTCTAAACCGGGTTTACTGGTTAAGAAAACGTGGTTTATTGGCCTAATTAAAAGACTACAGTGCCCTCGTTACTTTCCCCCAAATCGAAATCGACGAACCCTAAAAATCAGAAACCCTAATTCTCTAACTCTCTCGACTCTCTCCTTCGTTTCATCTCCTAAGAAATTCAGTGAGGCGATGATTGGAAGCGTTTGATCGGTTGCATATGTGTTGAGTCAGTGGATTGTATATCGAAGAGATGAGGTATGTCGATTCGCGTTTTTTCTCTGTCGATTAGAATTTCTAGGGTTATCCGATTTCAAAAAATTTATGGGTTTGGGTTGGATCGATATTGTTTTACTTTGTTTACAACGATTAACAACTGAATTTCTTATTTTGTAGTGATTTCGAGTGTTTGAAACTCAACATTCACTACCGAGGAGATGTATCAATCAAGGAGCAGTCGTTCGATTACATTGGAGGGTTCGAGGATAAAGACATGTTGATGGATCCTGATCTGATGACATGGTCAATCTTCGAGGATTTTTGCAAAGAAAAGGGAGTGAATGGTGAAGTCGAAGCGATTTGGTACAAGCTTCCGCATGAGGACAAGCAGCAACTCCACACAAAAGAGGCAGACCAAGGAAATGTCTTGTAAGAGTAATCTGACATTTTGAGTATTGCCTCTTTTGAGTTATGTCTTATTCAGATTTGATCAAGGTATGTCTTATTCATAGGATAATGATGATCCATGGAGCATTAACAATGCTCCAAAGAGGTGGCAGCAAGCTCAAAGCCAGTCCACACCATCTGGTTCTCAAAGTCAGTCCACACAAGTACCTCAACATTCAAGTGCTCCAGCAGCTAATCCAAGTGGTAGGGGACGTGCTCGTGGACGCCCTCCAGGAACTAAGAATGGTGAAGGCAAGGGTCGTGGCAAAGGTGCTGGCAAGGGTCGTGGCAAAGGTGCTGGCAAAGATGAAGCTCCTAGACCGCCTGTTTTCTTTATGTCCCCATGGACTGACAAAGTGTTTGATGTTTGGCAGCCTGGCAAGAAATAGGCTGATCTTATTGATGTCTTTTAGGATCTTTCTGATGTAGGATTAGGATTATGTAGGATGATATGATATGTAGGATGCTGCTTAAGTTGGATGATGATTGTTTTGGTGGGATCCTTGTATGTTTTTGGTGGGATCCTTATGACTAAACGGCTCTTTTTGGCTCTTATGTTGGATACACTTTTTATGAAACTCCCATTAGTTCAAACAAGACTTACAAACTTGTCATACCACAACAACAACAACACAGAAAACAACAACAACAACAAACAAAACGAAAACTACTTCCCCATTGCATGTATCATGGCAATTACAACAATGAAGCATCCCCAAGACAACACAATGAACTGCCGAAGCATTTTCTCCCTCTCATTAGCACCCATAACTTCACTTTCAAGCTTTGCCTTCTCTTGTTCGTATCTAATCCCTAAACCACTTTCCAAATTCGTCGAAGCACTGATACCTTGATCATTCTTCGTCTTCACAGATTCTTTAAGCATCTTTATTTCCTCTTTAAGCTGACGAATCTCATCTCTTGCTTCTAATAAGCTCACCTTCTGCCAACCATATGGCTTCTCTTGATCAGCCCAATCGAAGAACCCATGAACACCACATCTGAAGAATCTTCTTCCCGGATTCTCGTTTGTCCATGTTGTAACAATCGTTGTCGCCCTACCACAGTTGCAAAGAGGACCCCAGCTTCTGCTCACCGAATTGGCATCAGACCCAGAACATTGACTCAACATCTCTCTAATTGTTGTGAAAATGGAAGTTTTGATCTAGGGTTCTTGGTCTCATACTCATATATCGATTTGGGGGAAAGTAACGAGGGCATTATAGTCTTTTAATTAGGCTAATAAACCACGTTTTCTTAACCAGTAAACCCGGTTTAGGGATTCCGTCAGCCGATTAAACGTCTGTTAAGTCGAATGACTTAAACGACCATCAGTAATAAGTTTATGATTTAATTGACAACAATTAATTAACTAAGGTATTTTTAGACCAACGCAAAAAAATTGGGCATTAAACTTTCAAATAAAAATTACTTGGGGTTTTTTTTGGGAATTTTTCCGATTAAGAAAGCAATCCACTATATAAGTTCTACTTCTTATATTTATTCTTTCCACACCATTATAATCAGAATAAAAATTCAGTCTCAAACGTATTAAACCGTCCATAATGTCTAATTATCCAAGACCGTTTTCTATTACACCGTGGTTTCCTCTTCCACAGTTTTCTTATAGACCTGTGTTTGGTAAGTTACGTTGTTAATAAGTTTTTATATATTTGTGTTTTCTGTAACTATTTTGAGTTTTTAACTAACTTATGTGAGTAACAGATTTAGCTCATCTTCCAGAGTTAAGGAGGTTGGCATTAGACTCCAATTTATCTTCTTTCATGGTTTTCCAAATTGATTATTATTTTAGGTAAATAAATTTTTATTTTGGTTAATCTACTTTTAATTATTTATTTTTGAGTTTATAGATTTATTCGAATATATTTACGTTGATTGATAATGCAGCGATGAAAATTTAGCAAAAGATAACTACTTGAGATCTCAAATGGATAATCAAGGATGGGTTAATATCTTCATTATTGCAGAATTTCCAAGAGTAAGTAACTTCAGAATTTAATGAATTTATCTATGTTTCTGAAGAATAAGGTGTATAATATCAACTATTTTGTATGTTTTCCAATTCCAGATCAAAAGCATGACTAATGATATTGAATTCATATTGCGTTCAATGAGATCATCAGCTACAGTTGAAATCCAGGTAATTTACTAATTACACGTAACAAAAGGTGTATGATGTTTTTTCTTTTCTTTTTTTTGCCACCAAAAGTAGATATTATGAAATACTATTAGTTACTGAATGTTGAAATTGAATTGTGTGTAGAATCACAAGTTGAGAAAACGCTATGGATGGCAGAGATGGATCCAGTGAGGTTACTAAAAAACCTATGTCGTTGTTTCTGGTTACTAAAAACCTATGTCGTTTGTGGTTACTAAAATAATTATAACTTTTGTTGTACTGTAGAACTTCTACATGCCTTTGGGTTTTCTAAATACAGTAATGTCAATCCACTTAACAAATTGTGCAAATAATGTTTTGCATCGTTGACATAGGGATTGCGTAGTTCATGACGCTCATGTCAAACCTTATAATACCAATATTAATCTCTTTAGGTAAAGTCCAATAAATGAGGACGCAATACACCAATCCGTTGTCGTCCAGCGGTTAGGATATCTGGCTTTCACCCAGGAGACCCGGGTTCGATTCCCGGCAACGGAGCTTTTTGTTCTGTTTTATTTTTTTCTAAAACATTGACACTTTCTTTTGCTGGTAAGATATATGCGACACGAACAAGAAGGATTGTTTTAAATTAATTTGATCATATAGAGATGACAAATTACATTGCGTTTACATTTTTTTTTTTTTTTTTTTTTTTTGCAAATTCTTTTACATTTTTTTGGCAATCTCTTTAAGCAATAACTTTGTAATCTTTCCTGTAGAACTCTTTGGCAACTCTTCAAGAAACGACACCGTTTTAGGCACCATGTAACGTGGCATCTTCTTCTTGCAATACTCAATAATCTCCTTATCCGTGGGTTTCCGGGTCAACCCGGGTTTTAAACTCACGAAAGCACACGGCGTCTCTCCCCAAAACTCATCAGGTCTAGCCACCACCGCCGCTTCATTCACCGCCGGATTCGTGTACAACACTGCCTCCACTTCCACACTGCTCACGTTCTCTCCTCCTGAAATAATCACATCTTTCGATCTATCTTTAATCTCTAAGTAACCATCTCCGTGAATCACACCGACGTCTCCGGTGAAGAACCACCCGTTCTTAAACGATTTTTGAGTTCCGATCGGATCTTTCAAGTATCCGAGCATGATTGAACTCCCTCTCATCACTATTTCTCCGAACGTTGCTCCATCTCTCTCCACTCTCCGACCCGATTCTGGATCCACTACATCGATTTCGCTAAATCCGACGGTTCTCACTCCTTGCCGTGATTTCAATCTCGCTTGGTCACTCGCCGGTAATCGATTCCACTTTGGGTTCCACGCGCAGGAGACGATCACACCGGCTGTCTCCGTTAATCCGTAACCGTGGCTAACGATGAAACCTAGAGATTCGGCGCGGAGGAGCACCGTAGCCGGCGGAGCCGAACCGGCGGTTAAGAATTTGACCGGGTTCTTAAGAGGCTGTTCAGATTCTTGACTTGCCGATAGAATCTGAAGCAATATTGGTGCGCCACACATGTGAGTCACGCCGTGATCACGGATTAGACGGTAGAGTAACGGCGCGTGGAGTTTACGCACACAGACGTTAGTTCCTCCGACGGCAGCGATTCCCCATGGATAGGTCCAACCGTTAGCGTGAAATATGGGTAAGGTCCATAAGTAAACCGGATTTTTCGGTACGGCCCAATCAGTTAAAGAATCAAGCGCCATGACGAAAATACCCCTATGGCAATGAACCACTCCTTTAGGAGACGACGTCGTACCGGATGTGTAGTTGACCACAATCGGGTCCCATTCGCTTTCGGGTCGGATCCATTTAAAATCCGGATTGCCTCTCTTGACTAGATCACTGTACAAGTAACAGAATTTTGAACGCTCCGTCACTACAGCTGCTCCCTCCTCCTGGTCAGCGATTAGGACGAGAATCGGCGGATTGAGCAACGTCGCGATCGCTTCTACGACGAGATCGGAGTAAAACACGTCGACGAAAAGCAGCTTAGACTCGCAATGGCGGAGAAGAACAGAGACGGTTTGCGCATCAAGACGCGTGTTGAGGTTGTTAAGGATTGCGCCACACATCGGAACGGCGAACTGGAGCTCGTACATCTCCGGAGTGTTAGCAGATAGGACAGAGACAACGTCGGATCTTCCAATTCCAATGGAAGACAGAGCAGACGCGACGCGGAGGCAACGGAGATTCGTTTCCTGCCAAGTGTACACGGTGGAGTTGCCGTAAACGATGGAGGTAAAGTCTCCATACACGGTGGCTGCCCTCTCAAGAAAGCCTAACGGAGTTAACGGTGACGAGTTTGCGGCACTTGGCTTCAATCCCTCCATTTTCTTTAGCTCTTGTCGAGTGACCACAATGTGATGCTAAACAGAATGAAGAGAGATTACAATGTGAAGTGTTATTGTATATTGATACATTTAAATAGAAAAGTTATTTCTTATAGTAAAGATAGATACAAATATATATTTGTATATGTGATCCAGGTTCCGTTGATTGGAATCTTTCTTTTCTTATATGCAAACAGTGAAACAAAGATCACATGGTATTGAAGACAAATTAACGTACTTTGACAACGAATTACAGGGCCGGTCCTGAGGGGAGCAACATGAAGCCAATGTCTGTGGCCCCAAATTTTTTTAGAAATTTAGCAAGAGAAAATATATGTAAATAGGCCCCCAAAAAAAATTATTTTTATGAAAAGGCCCCCAAATTTTATAACTGTTTATAATAACCTTAAAAAAATATTTTGTTGCTTTGGCCCCCAAATTTCTAGGACCGGCCCTGCAACGAAATCACCTTCTACAATTACAATACCAAAAACGTGACAAGATGTTAACAAGATACGAATGAGTAATGCAGATTATGTGTATTGGAGTAACAACTTTTTTTAGTCCTGGCGTAAATGAATTTTAATACACATGTTCTTTGACGCCTAACTCCATCATGAAGCTATCGTTTTAAACTATCATTGTCATAGATGTCCCATGATATAGTCATCTTCATCGCATGATCTCACCGGAAATATATGAATCAAAAACCTACTTTCAGACCATACACCAACTCTACCCAATTCAGTTTCATTATTTCCACACTAACATTCCTAAAATTGAATGTTGAAAAACCAGTGAGGACTTAAGTGGCGAGCAATTGATTCAACTCAAGACCACATCATCTAATGCCATGGAACTTGGAAGAAGAGACATAAAAGGGAGTTACAGATGTGGAAAGAAGAGGAATAAAAGATATTTGCAAGACAAACCAACATCACTCTTTTAAGATTTTCTAAAAGCACAAATTATCCATCCAACAAAAGAGTAAAAAACATTAGTTCTTGATAATAAAAGAAAGCAAAGAGGAGGAAGAGAACATAGTCATGAATATTAAAAGCAACACTTGAAAACGGCAATAAACATAAGGAAGAAGAAACTGGTTGCTTGCTGCTTTTTGATTCTCTCTCAAGATCATCATTCAAAAGCCCATTGGTTCTCTCTGCGCACCTCTTCCTCTTCCTCGGGTGTGAAGTCGTTCTTGATGTTGAACGTTGTGCGGATCTCTTCTGGAGTCTTCCCTTTGATCATGTCCGCCACTGTCTGACATGTGAGGTCAAGCAAGTTCTTGATGTTCAGGTAATTAGCAGCCTGCACAAGATCCAATATTGTTAAACCATTACATCATAATCCAAATCCAAAATCACAACAAACTTATAGATATGAATGAATAAATAATAACCCAAATCGGTAGATTCTGTATATAACAAACGAATCCCTAAGAGAATTCAACTTCCTAAAATCTTGATTCAATTCATGGTCCAATTTCTGAACAAACACCTAAATTTCGAAACCCTAATTTCCCAAATCGAAAACCCTAGAATTCCAAAATCAAAAAACAAAACGCAAACACCGATGGGGATAATCAAATCGAATCGAATCGAGAGAAGAAGAAACATACCAGAATGAGTTCAAAGAGCGTAGCCTGATCGATCTTCATAAACTCAGTGTCCCAGGCCTTGAGGTCTTCATCGGAGGTAGCACCATCGACGGCCTCGCTCTTGGCGGCAGCAACCTCGACGTGCTTCTTGCAATACTCGATCACCTTCGCAAGGATCTTGCTCGTGACGTTGGGAAGAGGGACTCCGTTGTCGACGCAGTCGTCTTCAACCATGTGGGCTATGGTCTGTGACTCGAGAGCCACCGCCTCTTCAACCTCGAAAGATTCACCATCGGAACTCTTCAACACAATCTTCTTCGAAGACATCTTTATGGAAACGAAGAGAGAAGAAGATTTAGATTTGGGAGAAGAGATTTGTTCTTTGAAGAAAATTTTGAGAAGCGATGAAGGAAATAAAGAGAAGCGTCTCTATATATATATATATAAAAAAATCCCTAATTTTGATAAAGTCGGTCGATTGTTAAAAAGTCATTCGCAACTTTAGGAAATAAGGAAATTGTTTTTAATTTTTTTTTTTTTTTTTGAAAAGAAAGTAGAAAACAATCCTAATCTCATTGAACTTAACTTTTTTTGGTTGATAATTTCAATTAGTGAAATTAGATATGAAAAAAAAACTTTAATGAGATTGTTTTCTATATTTATTTTGGAAATATTAACTTTTTTTTTTTTGGAAATATTAACTTTGAGCAGTTCGTTTGTATTTATCTCATTAGTTAGTATATAATTTTATATTTCCTTTTTTTTTCCCTGTATCCAATTCCATAATTTTCAAAAAGCAAAAAATAAAATAAAAGTAAATCACTGTAGGATAAGAATGAATCAATCAAATCAGCTTTGTTAGCTTTATAATCATGAATGAAACATTTTATTTTTATTTTTTAATAAGCTAACAATATGTGAAACAATACAAATACATCTAACTATTTTTTGGTCAAAGAGTCATACAATATTATGTTATGGATTTTATTCTCTTTTCATTTATTTCTTAATCAATCTTATATTTTCTTAGATATTATCTTCAACTTTGTTTTATTTTTTCTTTTCTAATTATAACTAATCTTATATTTCATCAAGATAAGGTATATCATATGGTAACTTTTTAAAAAATGCATTCAGTTTTTTAGTTATAAAATATTTTCTTCTTTTACATGTTTTTTTAATTATTTAAAATGGACATGTGTCTTAGAAAAAGCATTATAATTTTTTTCAAATTAATTTATATAATATTATTTTATCAATTTTTATTGTCTATACAAAAATTAATATTTCCGAGAAGAGATCAAATTTTAAGGATGTTGCAAATCCAAACTTGTGATTATTTTTGTAAAGTTTTGTGGATGCTTCTCTCCCTTTTGATGATTCGACCTAAACATAATTCTAACTAATGCCATGGTTATTAAAAAATTTACGAGACAATTCCGGTTTAATGATAGCTAACTAAGTAAAGTTTTTTGGGATTCATCAAACTAAAGGAGATCTTTTTATAGCCTAGTGTCTTTTGTAAAGTTGCCAGAAGTCAGCAAAGAGCTTTGGATTGCGGCTCAAATGAGAGATCTTCATATGAACAAATGGTTGGGATGTTTCAGT